GACCATGACCACCCTACTCAGATTCTGTTCGACCCGGGCGGCTTGTTCAGTATGTTCGACCAGCTCACTGGACCGGTCTAGTACTTGAGGCATAATATCCCATATCATCTAGTCCCCCTCTCACTCTAGTCGAGTCTGAATGACTCGATCTAAGAGTATATTATTGTCCATCCATCAACGCCTGTCATGTCTACTACATACCGACCATTTGGTAGGTGTTCTTCTGCTTTTCGACCATTTTCCATGTCGACCACTGTTTTGAATTTTGAAATTTGAAAACTCTCATCTGACAGATTTATCGTTTCACCTGTCAGACGCGTCGATCATTACTCCATATATCATGTCTCTTCGTACTTCGTGCCCATTAATGCACCGCTTAAAGCGTCCGTTGGGTTAATGCCTTTAATCTGACAGTTATTAGGCTAGCGTTCCTTCCACTACTTCTCTAATCGTGACCCTTCATCTCTGCATCGATCCAACCGCTATATTCTAGCCAACCTTTCATCGCACCCTTTGAACCCTAACCGTCGGATTTGGTCATGATCAACGGTTGGATTCGCGTTATTCTCTCGCTTAGCCACTATAAAAACCCTTCGAGTTATACTTCAAAAGATTTGCTACTTTTGTAAATTTCGTGCTTTATCTCTCAAAAAAGCTTTTCTTTTTCGGCAACTAAGTTCTCAAGCTTCCGGCATCCTCATGCTTTCAGATTTCTCCACAACTGCTCCACCGTTCACGATGAGTAAGTTTTTTTTTTCTTTTTCACTTTCTCTCTTTTTTTCTTACTTTGTTTTGATTTATCGCCTAAATTACTCGCCCAATTCGTCTACGTCGAAGAATTCCTCTCTTTTTCCTCTTTCCCCAAAAACCTACAAAAAGATCTCCTTTTTTGATGTTTTTCTCCTTTACTTTTTTCAGATTCTGCTACTTCAAGAGAAAATGACCACCATTCTGGCGGGGACATGACTCCTCTTTTCTCATCCTGGACCTCACGTCTCAAATCTTTATCTCCCAGTAATTCCGTTGAAGAAATTCTTCAACCTGAACCTCTGTCCATTCTTCGACCGGTATTCCCTGTCCAAAGTCCTCAAGCCCACTCGAGTTCACCTACTTCTTTCCTTAACGATGAGCCTTGTGAGGATATCTCCAGCAATCCTTCACCCCCTCATCGCTCTTGTCGACCACTCGGCTTGCACGATGCAACCAACGATGCGGAAAAGGAGGACCACGAGGTTGTCCCGCTTAACCCTCTGGCATCGAGCACTCATACACCCTTTTCAAACGCTCCTCTATCTTCTTCGACCATTAATACCAAACCTTCGACCAACCGTCGAAATAAAACTTCTCATACTCGATCTCCCTGCATAAATTGGCTGGACCTTGATGAGGTCAGCCATCCTGGGGCTGTTTACTGTCCTAGTGAAGGTGATACCTTCGACCATCCTCCCGAGGGTCCCTACACTTTTTTCCCAAATCCAATTTGATTTAGGCCTTCGCTTTCATATTTGAAATGCACTACTCGCGTTGTGCAGCCTATATAGTTTAGCCCTAAACCAGCCTTCTCCTAATAAAATACGAATTTTAACCACCTTTGTCATCCTCTCCACGGTCTGCTTAGGTCGAGTTGACTTGGGGATTCTTCTTCTACTATTACATGGCCTCGAAGCAAGCTGGTGGTCCTTACTTAAAGAGTAGAAACAACGCCCACTTTATCTCTGATATTCCTTCTAAAGTCCCCAAGTGGAAGCACAAGTTTGTATATGTCGCACCCAGAACTCCTTATCCTTGGACCTCTACTCCTTGCCTCAAGGAGCTTCCTTTTGAGACTGAGAATCCTCCTAGAAACCTCATATTCGACCGACTTCTCGCCCTATGGAATTTTAACTTTGTTGCCTCGATACCTTTACTAAAAAATAACCATCTCCTGCACCACTGTGGTATACTTACCCATAGGCCATATCCCCCTCCTCTCGAGCAGACCTTTGTCGGTATCCACGTCAACGAGTCTGGTATATCTCAAAGTATTCGACCAGAAAGATGTCGATGCATACTTCAAACCTTTCCTATAATAAAATTTTTATATTGCGACTAACTCGTCATTGTTTATTTTGTGTAGAAGTATTTTTAATCAACCAAACTTCAAAGGGTTGGCCTTCTTTGAGAAAAGACCCACTCAAAAAGATTCTTCGACCGAACCTGAGAAAAACAAGAAGGCTCCGTCCAACAAGGATGCTTCTACTCGAACCGAGAAAACGGGCGCGATGTTGGGATCTGTGATAGCAGCAATAAACTTATGCGCAGCGGATCTAGAGGTTTAGAGTTGAATACTTACGGCTTAAAATTCGCAGACTCTGAGACGTTGTTGATTACTGTTGAAGGAAATCGTGTAATCTCAAAATTCATCGGACAGCCGGATTCTTCTCATCGGACTCGAGAAGGTCACGGGAACGATGGTCGGGAGCAACGTGCATTGCGCGGTGGCAGACGGCGTCGGCGTCGCGATCGGGTGCTGCGGTGTCACCGGGGTGCGAGGATGTCGCGGTTGCGTGCGGGCTACGACTTCGGGCTGCAGCTCGCGGTGGCTGCGGCCTCTCGCGGTGGTCATTGGCGATCACGGATGGTGCTTGGACGGTGGTCGGCCGGCGGCTTTCGGGGTTGATGAATATATATTGATCACGGGGTCTCGATACCTCGGGATCTTCTACTGTATATCTCGAACACCTCTTCGTATTCTACCGGTGGAACAACAACACGAAGATAAAGCTCAACTATGGGAACTAGAGAGAGAGGGGCGACCAACGTGTATAGCGTTAGGTTTGCTTGTGTCTCAATCCCATGAGCTTAATGATGTATATATAGAGTTACAGTAGGGATCCTAAGGATATGAGGATTAGAGCTGCTTAAGTATTGGGCCTAACTGTGAGCCAAGCCCACTCTTGCCAATACTAAAATAATACTTCGGTCCACTACCGATAATATTATTGAACTCTCTTATCCTCCTCAGAATTATATTCGAGACTCCAATTATAATTACTCGAATTACCTCCCCATATTTAAGATATAATATCCATTAATTAATTCAATCACTGATAATAAAAAATTAATTAATATATTATAATACCAAAGCTAGCGCCGTTCATTACATTATTGTTATGTCGGAACTTAATCCACCTGCAGGGTTTTTGCATAACAATTCTTCATGAACTTTACTTCGGGGACATCATCAAACTGTCGCACATGGTGAGTGTAAATATTCTAACAGCTCATCGCACATATAATAATATTACCCAAAACAGCAAGTATGTCGACTCAGTAAACCGAATCTCACTTTAGTGAATCAAAGCAATATTTACCATATGTATATGCCTGTGTATATCTTACAGGTTAAGAGAACACAGTAATTAACCGAGAATTAAGTTTGTTTACGACGATCAGTATAAAACAAATTGTTATTCTCTGGGATCCTGTTCAATACATAAATGTACTAGTGTAACTAATCAGTCAAGACCAACCGAACAGTTGACACTACAACCGTTCTGATGGTTTGTTCATTTCCATCTGGGTTGTGAACCAACAATTATTGTTTCTCAAGTAACTGATAAAATGATCTTCTATTCACCCGATGATGAACCATTCTATCTTAGTGCAAAACAACAAAACATAGAACTTATTTAATCAAACATGATACTCATTCAACAAAGATAAAGTGTAATATCATCTACAACCAAACTTTTAGTATATAACACCAACACGCTACTCCCATCTCGACCAAACAGAAAGTTTCCACTTCTCCATCTAATTAAACTGACCAAAAGACCAACCACTCGAGTAAGCCTGTCGACCCTCCTACCAAAAAACGATCACGTTTTGAGGTGGTCGTCGCCACACCGCCTGAGCAAACCATCGGACTCCACGATCCTTCCAACAAACGACCACACCTCGAGGTGAAGGTCCTTGAGGCCAAGGACTCCGAGCCTCACATCCAATCTTCCTCGGTGACAGTTCGTCTTAAGGAAGCAATTTTCCGCTTTATGGGCTTTCTGTCCATCGAAGACACCCACAGTTGTGGTGTTGATCGCAAAGCACAGGGCGAATATGTTGTTCGCGCCTTGACTCAGGTATACTTTATAGTCTATTCAGACTTCAAATTAGTTTATTCTACATGTTCAAACTTCTTTTTTTTTTTTGCAGACTCTTGTCTCTGTCATTCCTCTACTCGAGGAAACTTTGGACAGCTCTGGTCGACCTCTGTCAGAGCTCGAAAAAGAAAACTACCGCCTCGAGGAGGAGAATAGACGGCTCAAGGCAGAAAATGATGAGCTACTCGAAGTACGTAACGAGTTGACCGACCAACTTAAGAAAAATGAGCATCACTACAAGGACGATTTGATGGCTAAGGACCATGCGCTCTATTGTAGTTCTGTGTTTGTGGTCGGTAGTAAGGACGGCTCTATTGTAGCAAATAAGTGTGTGTTGTTGTTGTTTTCTCTTTTAGTTTGTCGTTTTAGTCTAACTGTGTCTAGCTACTAGTCTTCTTTATGGAGTTTTTGTTATTTTGTGTGTGTTTGTACCCTTTGGTCGTATGTGTATTTCCAAGAAGTGGATCTAATCTTAGGGCTGACTCTAGTGGTGCCTGTTCTTTTCTGTTTTCTTAAGGGGATGTATTCAACTGAGATTTCAAGTGACATTGCGTGAAATCTTGTCTTAAGGTGGAATTTGAAGTGAAATTTTGTATAAGGTTTTTTTTTATTTAGAAATCCACCAAATCTTAAAAAATCTTAACAAATTATAGTCTCAAATAAGTTAAATACCTCAGGATTTTGTTACACTTTTTAAAATCTCAATCTAATACTAAAAAACTTTTAAAAGTATTAAAAAGTTTTAACAAAAACCTAAATTGAATACAGTAGAATTTCTAAATATAAAGTTTTAAAAAATCTTTAAAATCCCAATAAAATATATATGTGTTGAAGAAGAACTTTAGTGGTGTCCGTTGGAACCTCACCTATTCGTTTAGAATTTCTTAAGTTATTAATATAATTATAAAGAAAATAAAAATAAAATAAAGTTTTTCTTCATCATCATATCATCTCCTCTATCCCTCATTCAGAATCTCCTCAAATGGCCTTATTGCGCCACGCGCCTCTTGTCCGCGCCGTACAGTTGCGCGCCCTAACAGTAATTGCCTGCGGCACCAGTGCAGTCACGACCTCTACAGTTGCCGTCAACAAGAATAGAAAAGATTCTTCCGTGCTCCTCGGCATGTCCGAGCACGATCTCCAACAGCTTGCCATTGAATTTGGTCTGGTGTGTTATTCAAGACTATCAATTATATCTCAATTTTTCTTTTTTTTTTGGTATAATGAATAATTAGTTTTAATTTTAATTCACGTGGCAGCAAAAGTATAGAGGCAAACAATTGCACCATCTGTTATACAAGAAGAAGGTTAAAGAAATTCAGGATTTTAGTCTGGGTGAGGTGGCTGTTTTAGAATTAAGTATTTCTTCTTTTTATTCGTTGGATGATTTTGGTCAGGCTGACTGCTTATAACACTTTTTTTTTTCATTGTTTATTTTCGATTTTGTGAATATTTTTGAGCAGTGCCATTGGCATTTAGAAGTGAACTGCAGGAAGCTGGGTGGACTGTGGGACGGTCGCAGATTCATAAGGTGGTGACTGCTACTGATGGTACAGTTAAGGTGAACAATTTTCTGCTGCCATGTACTTTCCTTTATACTAATGATAATGAAAGGAATCTAATTTTCCACCAAAAAGGAAAAATAGAACAAAACCAACAAAAGATACTTCTCAGAAATATTAAATTAGATAGAAGTGCTGTGCTTATGCAGACCATGTTTGTGGGTGGGCAAAATTTTACTAAATTGAGTGTATGGGATGTCACCATTATTTGCTTTAGCGAAAGCTTGAGAATCACAATAGTATTTTTAGTTGGTTGATTTTTAGAAGTTGAAATTTGAGAAGACAGAATCATTTTTAGCAGACTTTTAGTACGGGATCTCTACCATTTAATGCATACCCAATATACTTACCAATGATGTCCATTTTTATTTATCGGTCTCTTGGGAACAAAAACCAATCTGTCATGTATGTTTTTACGGTTGCACCCACTTCTACCAATATTTTCGCAATGGCTCATGCCTTTTTCAGTTGCTAATTAAACTGGATGATAATCGATTGGTGGAGACTGTCGGCATACCTGTTGAAGATGACAAAGGTTTACATCGATTGACTGCTTGTGTCTCATCTCAGGTGAACTTCATGTCAAAAGATTGTCTTTCAGGGTTTTTATTTTCTTATGGATTTGTGATTGTTAATCTCTATCTCACTTTGGATGATCAGGTGGGTTGTCCATTACGTTGTTCTTTCTGTGCCACTGGTAAGGGAGGTTTCTCGAGGAACCTTAGGAGACATGAAATTGTTGAGCAGGTTTGTTTATACCTCTTCCTAAACTAATTTTGAAGACATGAGGATTCTCTAGCATCTTTTCTATTTTCTTCTTTTATCTGTATATAATCTATACAGAAAGATTTGTAAAAAAAAAATGAAGTACTTTGACAACAAAATTAGTAATACATTAATACTCATCCATTTTTATATTTTTAATTAATAATTAATATTCTACGTAAAATGCCCTTACTTTTGACATATTTTTAGTGACAAATTAATAATACACTAATACTCATTCTACCTTATATTTTTAATTAGTAAATAGTATTTAATTAATTTAATATAAATACACAAACAAAACATTCCGAATCTTCTAAAAATCAACCCCACTATTTTGCACAATTTTATTGCTCACGAATTTGCTTTCTTCCACATATCTCACAAATTGTTTTCTTCCATATCTCCCAATCAACCCAACATTATTGCACAAAGTTTTAAAAGGATATAGAAATGTTGTTTTGTAATATATCTTTATTTTTAATAGTACAATTGAAATCATATTTAATAATTCTGATATATAAATGTTATCTAAAGAAAACTGATCCAACAAAAACAACATAATAAATACATATAAAGAATCCAAATATTTTTAATTATTTATTTACCTATCTACAATTTTAACAAAACGATAAATATTGGTAAAAAAGACAATTTAGTTGAGGCTTGTATATAATAAATAATTTCAACAATACATACTTAACTTTAATTAAGTGAAGATAAGTAAAATTTGTACCAAAATAATTCACATATGAAATATATACATAAAATAAGAAAAATAAACCCTCGTATTTCGAATTAGAATTAAAAAATTGCTTGAATTTTAATCCAACAAAGATTGTCATTTATTTATTTATTTTTTATTTTTTTTTTAATTTTTCCAATTATTGTCCCAAAGCCAATAAAGTTAACGAATCTTCATCTGCCCATTAGGTCCATTAGGTGGTTAATATCAAGCTAAGAAATATTTCAATTATGAACACTTTAAATATTTGAACATTTTCATTCAACAATTAACTAAAATATATTATGATATTTTAATTAATAAACCAACAAATATATTAGTTAGTTCAGTTAGATTAGGTCGGTTAATTAGTTAGTAAGTCAGGGTAATTAGTTAGGATAAATTAGCGAGCTAGGGTCTCTCTCTCTCTCTCTCTTCTCTTCTCTTCGTACAAATGCATCATCTTCTTCATTCTTAATTGACATACACTGTTATCTTCATGCTTCTATGGCTTTTGTTTTATCCTTATTTTTAATATAATTTTAATGTTAACATTGTATTCATATTTATAATTCTAATGTATAAAAATTGTTTAATGAAAACTGTAAACAACATAATAAATACGTAAAAGAATCCAAACATTTTCAACTATTTATTTACATATCTATAATTATGACAAACCCTTAAATCTTAGTAAAGAATGACTACTTAGTTGATAACTTGCATATAATAAATCATTTCAAAGATACATATTTAACTTTAATTAAGAGAAGATGACTAATTTTTTCCCAAAATCATTCACATGTCATATATATACATAATCTAACAAATTAGAAAAAGGACACAATTCATTTAACTACTTTATTATTTAAGAAAAATAAACTATTGTATTTAGAATTAGAATTAAAAGTTGCACCTTAGTCTTATTGGATTGAATTTTGATCACACATAAGTCTTCATTTATTTATTTGTTTGTTTGTTTGTTTGTTTGTTTTTTTTTTTTTTTTTTCACATGACCATTAGATGGTCATTATAAAGTTTAGTAATGTTTTAATTATTAACACTTAAAATATTTGAATTTCTCATTCAATAATTAACTAAAAGACATCACGATAGTTTAATTATTATTAATTTATTTCAGTTATTGATTTTCAAGATGAGTGCTAAATAAACAATGGAAATTAAAGTTTTTACCTTAAGTATTTTATTTATTGATTCTAAAATGCTTTTATGATTTTCTCAATAAATTTTGAGAGTTTATTAAACCATAAGTATCATATCACATGAGATAACTGTTTCACTAATATTTACTTAATTTTGTAAATTTATTAATAGCTATAAGTAAAAAATTTGAAATCGAAATTTTTTGTCCTCATAACGACCACAAAATATAGAAACATTATTTTTTGAAATAACCTATAAAAAAGAATAAATTGTGTGATACTATGCTAGATTAATTGTTGAATGATTGTTTTGCAATCTAAACTCTCAATCTACTCAATTTCTTTATTTAAAATAAGATTAGTATAGTCTTATAAAATTGTATAATACTAAAACCCAATCTATTTGCTTTCACCTTGAATCGAACACCACTTGAGCAACATGAATTAATTTTGATAATATTATTATCTACAAATTTATTAAAAATATCTTGAGAATCATGATATACCTACATACATTGAAAATTAATTAATTTTTACCAAGGAACTATATCGATAGATTACCATTATTCATCAATATATTAATCTGTATTATTGTAATAAAACAATGTTTTTATTCAAAAAATGTAAAAAATAAAAAATGTATATATTTGAGCATAATATTAATGAGAAAATTATAAATATATATAATGTAATCTAAATATACACAATTAATGAATATATATAAAATATATGACTCAAAAAGTTCTAGACTTAATTTTCTGCATTTTTAACAAATCTGAAAGTTATATATATGCATATATATATGTGTGTGTGTGTGTGTGTGTATGTGTGTGTGTGTATATATATAGATGTGTATATTAAGCACATATGAAAGAAAAATATAGAGTAAAAAAATATTAAATCTGATAAATAATTAAAAAAGTGTAATTAATTTATAACACTTGCTAATTAATATGAGAAGAAGTATTAAATAAAAATGTTATAATTAATAAAAATAAATATAAATTTTTAAAACTTGTATTTATTGATGTAAACGAGTTGAGTTGTTAAACGCTTGTTAATTTGTTATGCTTACTAATTCTATGTGTAAATTTTAGGTGATAAACAATAGTTATTTGTACTTTCATTCATGTACACTAAAAATTTGAAAAAAAAATGATTATTGTAATTTTAAATAACTTTTTATTTGCAATGTTTGAATATAATAAATAAATATCATATTGCATATATGCAATAATAACTCTTTTCATTATTTAATATTTAATATGTAAGAAATGTAACTCAATTGAGAAATGAATAAGTAATTCTGAGAAAAAATAATGAGTAATTTCTAAAAACAATATATGGACTAAAAAAGTTCATGTGTTTAATATATTTTCAATAAACATTTGTAAACACAATTAATTAATAACAAAAAAGTACTACATAAAATCATTTATGTTTAAGAAGGAATATAAACGGTAAGTTTTTTTCCAGAAAATATGTCACTAGATATTTCATTGGTATATTCCATTGGAAAGTTTCATTGGCTATTACAATAGAGGTCAAATTAAATTACATTGATATTTTAGTGGATTTAATTATTTCAGTTACCATTATTTATTGTTATGTGAATTTCCGTTGCAATTTTTTCGTATCATATTTCAACCATTAGAAAAATTGTCATTGGAATTAAAAAAAAAATCAATGGAAGTTCCATAGCTGCAGTGTCGAATCCAAAATATTTTCACACTGGGGGTATTGTTTAGTTAATAGAAAAGGTATATCATCAAAATAACATAATCCCCTTACAACTTATAAATTATACTTTTCATAATTTCTCATATTTTTCGTTTTTAATACTTTTTAACACATCAATACAATCAAAATAAGTAATGTAGTTGACTTGACAATATAATTGATGAATTTTTAATTCATGAATATATTACCAGCATTTCACATACATTAGTTAAAAAGACATTTTTTTTTTTTAAATTAGAGAAAAAAATATGTTGCAAAAGAGATACGAAGTTATCATCAAGATTAAATAAATAGAATTAGAAGGTAAAATTGTAAATTTTGAGATTTATCATATTTCCTTTAGTTGTGATGTTACGTAGAACATAATTCATTACGTGTGTGTGTGTGTGTGTGCATATGTGTGTTTGTATGTATACTAGAAGTCTCTTGCTACTTGGGAACCACAGCTGCATTCCTGTATACTTATCACTTTCTAGTATTTTTACTTCCTCGCCGCAGAACAATGGCAACTGTCATCTTCATTATATTATTCTGAAACACAAAATGGATAAAATAAATTGATAAAAGTAAAAGGTTGCAGAAATCAAGATGTTTAGTAATGTTTCTATTTAAAGGATAGCGAGAGAGATTTAGCACAATTAAAACCGAAGTCACTGAGATTATAGACGACAATGAGATGCTCCCATTCCTTCAAATCCGCTTGTAGGGTCCTATTAGGAACCTGAACGAACACGGAAATAGAAGGCATTAGAGAGTCTTGCAGGCATGAATGAATTACTAGTGAAATAACCGGTGCTCTTGGATTAGCTACCAAAATAATAGAACCAGTAAGGAAAGATGGGCAAAGTAGAATTACCTTTCTTGACATGACACTTGTTAAAATGAGAAATAGAACACGGAGAAGCATTGTTGCGAGCAATCTAAACAAGTTTTGGGAAACTTCATCTCATCCCTACACATGATAAATCTCACCTCTCGAATATACTGACCCTAATCATTACTGCTTTGATATCCTTACTGCTCAGGTTTTGGCTATTGAAGAGATCTTCAACCGAAGAGTGACAAATGTGGTATTTATGGGAATGGGAGAGCCCATGTTGAACATGAAAGAAGTTCTTGAGGCACACCATTGTTTAAACCAGGTAAAAATGATTGTCCTGAACAATCCATCTATGATATGTTGTGATAACACGTTTATTACGTGATCAATGTTCATTTGTGTATCCAATTGAGAAAAACAGTTCAATTATGAGTTACGGGAAATAAAATGGTGTTAGGGTGATGGTGTCATACGTATGGCATGATTCTTTGGTTCATTTGAGATGGTTGTGGGTTAGGAAATAATCATATGACATTTCAGCATTGGGTTCAATAGTTGGGTTTCAGCACATCAGAATACCTTTGGTTGAATGAAAAATGCATAAACTCTGAGACTTGTCATATATATGATAGAATCTCTGTCGAATCCAACAAGCAAGATACTTCAGCAGCAGATGGAAAATACGAAGGTGTGCTAGATAACTTTTCACAACTGTTCCTTTTTGGCAATCCGACGTGAACATTTTGGCTCGGTTGGTGCCAGTTGGCTGTGATTGGATACAAAGATTTTTCATTTTTGTTTATTCAACCAAGAATTATTTCATTGAAACTGAAAATAAGACAAAAGTTTATCTCAAAAAATACTATTAATTTCATCTCACTTTTTCCTGTACATATCCCACCAACACAATTGAAAATAGAAAGTTATCATTGTTATACATGCAGTAACACACGTTCATCCACTCACATATTTCTAACCACCAATATTATCAATCAATATTTTGGTTCTTTTAATGATTTTTTTATCTCATATCCACTCTCATCTCAAATTTGTTTCATTTTTTCTAAAAAAACTATTTTTTTTTTTCACTTTTACAGACTGAACAAATTTTGAATAACTCTTTTATATCAAATTGCACTTAAATGTTCACACCTTTCACTTGGAAATGCTGAAGCTTCTCATTATGAAACCTATGGCTAACTAAATGGCGATAAAATCAGTATTTCATGGAAGTTCGTATAGCTATTATACTGCTAAACGCCAAATTGACTAGTTGGAGTTGAACTATGTAATTTTATTCTATGATCACGAATAGTAACTAGAAGGTTGAAGCTTCCTAGCTCTTGCCCAAAAACGAAAGACAATCTAACTATCATACTTACCTTGCCTCTACTTGCAGATCTTTATTTATTTTAGGCAAAAACTTCTGTAGGACCATCCTTTGAATTCATGCTTCCAGTTGACCCAGTGTCTTAATTAATAAGAGAGAAAAGAAGTAATCTCCATCATTGCGCTAAACTTATCCATGATCTACTAATGACTAATCCACCATATCTCCATCGTTGCGCTAAACTTATCCATGATCCACTAATGACTAATCCACCATCTGCAGATTTTTGAAAATTAGGCATTTTTAAGTATAAAATAATGGCTTCTCCTGGAACTGTCACTTTTAGTATTGTCTAATGTTTTTGACACCATGTAGTTTCTGTAAATGCATATTAGAGCATGCACTAGCTGTTGAATTAAATTGCAAGAACCTAGTTACTAAATTTTCTGGAACATACTTATTTTGATTTTTTTGATGGGCAATAGTGACCCTTTTTTCTCTGGAACTGACGATTACCAAAAGCACTGTATCTGTTTCGTCATGAGGTTGTTCAAAACATGAAAACAAAAAGATTGTTTCAAAAGTGAGTTCTCACTTAAATATCCTCGATATTAGCAAAAACTGCTATATTTGTTTTGTTTAGAATTTCGCTAAGTGAGAGAG